TATTTAGTTGCATTAAATTTATTATATTTATGGCCAGGAACGCTCTTCAGAAGTGAAAATGAAAACCCACTACTTAGAAAAGTAACTTCTTGATACAAGACAGAAGCTGAGGAAAATTTATGCTACTACCAGTCTCAACAGATTAAGAGGACTGAGCTATGCTGTTCTCACTGGTGGCAGATGACAGAACAAGAAGCAATGGTCTCTAGTTGCCACAAGGGAAGCCATTAGGTTATGTTAGATATTAGGAAAAACTTTCTGACAAGAACGGTAGTAAAGCACTGGAACAGCTTACCCAGAGAGATAAGGAATCTCCGTCCTTCGAGGTTTAAGACCCGGCTTCACAAAGCTGCAATGATATAGTTGGGGCTGGTCCTGCTTTGGACTAGATGAACTCCTGAGGTCCCTTCCAACCTTAATTTTCTATGATTCTGTGATTGCCCATGTTACAGCTAAGTCTAGCTCTAGCACAAAAAATATACCAAAACTGAATAAATAGTACAGGAAATAATGTTTTCCCATTTTTATTTTTAAGGTCCTCTTTAGAGAACAAAAACAACTATTAAAACCAGACAGATGGATGTTAACTTTAAGCAAATTGGAAAGACTAGACAATTGTATGAAGTGCTCAAAGAAGCCCAAAATAAAATAGGAGCAAGTTTTCACATGCAAAATGTAAGATTTTGGTACCAAAAAAATTTCAGAAAGTTGAAAGGCCTTAAAGTGGTAGACCAACTTTGTGCTGAGCCCAAACACACTGTGACCATTTGCGTCTCATCACCTCATGCTAGGTTAATCAGTAAAGTCAGCTCAGAGTGACCCTGAGTATGTCAAGAAGCAGGCCTAAGACTGACAACCTAAGAAAAGCACTGGGGCACATGGCCAGGACTGCTCTACCCTGGCTACAATGTCTAACGTCTGAGCTTTACTGTACACTATGTAGAAGTAGCATGTGCTTCTCTTCAGTAGTCCCGAACTCAGCTTAGAGGCAGTCTAGGCAAGTCCCTTAGACTACGGGTGTCAAACTCATAAAGCCACCCAGGCCATAGGACTCCTTGCAGACTGAAGTTGAATGCAGCAGCAGGGCAAGCAACATCAGATAGCTGGAAGGGATAGAAACAGCTCCTGCTTGTCTCCCCCATCACTACCAAGTGTCCCCAATGAGGTTCTGTACTCTGGATTATGACAGCAGCTCCCACCCCCTCTCATTCTGTCCCCATTTTATGGAGATTCTAGGAGACCCATGGGCCAAACCTGGCCTGTGACCATGTTTGACACCCCTGCTTTACAACAATTTGGAAAATTTTACCTCCGGCCTCTGCCCTTTGGAAACCTAGCACTATCAACATAAAGCTAACATCACAATTAATTTAAGAGCCAATGATTTTATGCTTAAAATCCAAAACGATTTCCAAAACGAACTTACTCTTCAACTTCACTGAGGCACAAGAGCTCTCTGAATTTTAAAAAAAAATTAAAAACACCCACATGTATGAGTGTGTTCCGTTTGTTTGTAAATAAGTCTTCTCTGTTCATTCACCCAGAGTTTGCGCGTTCTGTTCTGGGACCACAGTGTACTTCTAAAGGCATGAGAACATAAACCCCTTGAAGGAGAAACCTATTTATTCAACATATTTTACCTTTCATGGAACTACATAAATGATACCAGACTGTTAGAGATATCACAGAGATAAAACTGTGCAGTAAGGCACAATTTTAAAGCAGACTATAGAATGGTAATTGGACCTGGATAAATAAATAAATAAGCAAGCAAGCAAGCAAGCACGCGCAAGGCCTAGAACACTTTACCAGTATAGTTATGCAAGCCTGAAACAAAACCATCAGTATCACCACTAATTGAATGAAACTATTATACATCCAAGGCTCTTTGGCCTTGTGACTTTCACAATAGTGCAAAAACCTCTTCTAAATATCAATTTAGCATAAATGCAATCCCTTTACGTTTACTGTAAAGCATCAATCTATTCTAATGATGACAAGCCACTATAGTTTATCTGCATGCAGATGCTACAAAGGATACTTTACCTGGAAGGATAAGAACATGGTACAAGTGGGCGAGCAAGATTTTCCTTGCTTTATCTTGTAATGAAGTTTTCAGTACCTCACATTTCCCTTGTATCCCCTGGATCATTCATTAGTAACGACCCAACATTTGAAAAATGCCAAGCCAGCCTTCTCTGGCTCACAATCCTTGTCTATAAAGTGGGGTTTTCTAGGTTCTACCTTACTAACTCTTTACTAGATGTTTCTCAGAAGTCAATAATCATGTGCAAATTGCTGCTTTGCCTCTGTAATGGCCAAGACAAACAAGGTTCACAAGTTTTCAAGAAGTTATGATGGTGTACTCTGAACTGTGTCTTAAACAAAGAGACCACTAAGAAAACAGACTGATCAACACGGATCCAGGTTTTTCATCTCTCACAGAAAAATGGAAAACTGTAGATTTTCCCTTTTAAACAAGAAAAATGCAGATTTCTCATTTTAATGTAGAAATATGCCAATTTTCCACTTTTGCAGAGCTCTCTGCAGGCTGGCAAAGTTCCAGCCTGCAAGGAGCTGGGGGAAGTGGGAGGAGGACATTCAGGCAGGGGGCACCATGTGCATGTGCGCGCTCACACATCCACAATTGCACATGGCCACCAGGCAGCCTGGAGACTGGCTCCCTGCAGGTAAGTCGGGGGGGGGGAGGGCACTGAGGCATCCATAGGGAGGGAGGGAGGGAGTTGGGCAGGGCAGGGCAGGGCTGGGGTTGGGGCTAAGGCCCAGCTGAAGCAGCATGCGGGGCTTGAGGCCCAGGGCTGGAAAACATGGCTGCAGGGCCCCAGCAGGGAACGGGATGGAGGTGAAGGTGGCTCATCCAGTGGGCAGCGGGGGAAGGGGGCAGGAGTGGGGGGCACGTGCCCCCCACATCTGTGTGGGCAGGGGCGGGGTCAGGCTGCGCACTGTGGGCTTGGGCTCCCTGCCCTGCTGCCCTCCTTCCGAGGCCTGTGTGGCCCAGGGGGTGGAACCTGGCAGGGCAGGGCAGGGCAGGGCAGGGTGTGCCTGGGTGGGGAAGCTCCTTGCTGCTGCAAGCTCTGGCAAAGTGCCTGCCCTGCAGCAACGGGGGTGGTGGCGCAGTTGTGCCCCTTGCTGCCAAATGGGCAGAGGGCACCTCACCATGGTGGCACAGAGCTCTCAGCAACAGGAACGAACATCCCTGCTCAGGCCCACTCTGCCCTGCCATGCCAGGTCCCACCTGCTGGGCTGTGGAGGCCCCAGGGGGAGGGCAGCAGGGCAGAGAGCCAAAGCCCGCAGCAGGCAGCCTGCACCTACCCCGCCTCTCCCCCCCGATGGGTGCCCCTCCGGCCATGCCGCCCATGGGCAGGGGGGGGGGGGGGGGCTGGGTGACTACAGCAGCCTCCACCTCCCACAGGCAGCAGCCGGGGTACGGGCACTGCTGTGGAGGGCAGGGGGCTGTGGACCCGGGTCTCTGGCCCCATAGACCTGGCAGCTGCGGGCCCCCTCCAGCAGGGCTGGGGGGCAAGGGACACCAGCAGGGCCAGGGGGCGTGGGTGGGGAGTGACAGCTTGGACCTGCATCCTGGTGAGAGAACGGGGCAGGTGGAGCTCTGATTTTCCATGATAAAAAACTCAGAATTAAATGTCAAAATGTATAGAGCCTTAGAATCTATTTTATTATAGTGATTGGAAGCCTACCTTTGCCTCAAATTGCTTTAAAATTGTAAATATATCAGTAAAACATTGTGTTCAACTGATACCTATAAATATATAGTAGCATTTCATTTCAGTCTCAGATTTGGGGGGTTTTAATCAGAAAATTTTCAATTTTTTTTAATCACACAAAACAAGGATCCCTGTTGATCAATCATGCAGTGCAAGTCCCACAGTGTTGAGGCAGTCTAGATCAGAGCGTGCATGCCATGAAACACTTAGGAATGTCTCCCCACCAATCTGTGTAGTTCTAAAATTAACATTTCACAACTAAACTCAGCTAATTCTTGCCATACACACTGAAATTTAATAAACTGAACATTTCAAGGAAGAAAACTCACATCCTCAATGTCTGAAGTCACGGGTATGCATGCCAACATGCAACTAATATGCTGTGCCTAGATCTCTCTTGCAAAAGATCCTCGTATGAATGCAACGTAACTGGTGGGAAGGTACCTAAACTTCCTCATTTTGGCAAATGAAAAAAAAAATTGTTTCAGCTGAGTGACCTCTTGCACATACCAGACCAGTTGATGAAAGATCTGGCTCTTACAAACTTCCTCAATCCAATGCAGTATTTTTTTTTTTTAATTCCTACAGACAGAAATCACAACTCAAAAACCTTTGCTTTGCAGCTACACAGACTTCATCACCAGAGCAGAGGGGTAAAGAAAAAAGAAGCCTATTCATCCTTCCTTATGTCAACTATTATACCAGCTGTTGTTCACCCTTTTGCAGAACTTTGCATTTGAACATGAAAGGCCCTAAAGCGTTAAGAAAAAGAAAAGAGAGAGAAATGGTAATCTCCAAAATTAAGTTATTAGCATATCTAGTATTAACAAATACCTAAGATACAGTGGCAGACAGAAACGTTAGCAATAAGGAAGTAGAACAATCCCTGAACTTTCTCTAAACCTAGGTGTTCGAGCTCTACCAACAAAACAGACCTCCTCCACATCAACTCAACTCCAGGCTATCTAGAAGCATTACTGTACCAAACTGCTTTGGAGACTGTGAAAAACTAATCTACACTGCCACTAAAATACTTTAAGCTTTAAGGATGTTGCAGAGAAACTGCTATGGTGGGGAATCCAACCTCCCTACACTTCATCAGGTATTTGAGTTCGACAGAGTAAGTTAACAAACACGTAAACATTAAGGCAGTAGCGTCAGTTTGGAGGGGGAAAAATAGGATTTTGAGTATAAGAAACTACTCACTGGAAGTCAAGCTTAGGAAAGCATCTGAGAGAGGTTCATAAGGCACCCTACCCGACTGAGGCGACAGGCAGGGCCATCACCTCGCCATCCCTCCTCAGCCACCAAACTGAAAGCCTTTTCTTTACTCCTGGAGAGGTGTGCGTTCAGAGCAGCCAGCCTGGGAGTGCGCGTGATGAGGGGAATGTGGAAAATCTGCTCTTGGAAAGGAAATGAAATGCGGCCCATGGCTGCTGCTGCCCACAGGCAGGCAGGTGAACAGAAAAGCAGTGCGCGGAGAGCAGGATGCCAAAACTCAGAGCACTAAAAACTGAACTAGGAAGGAGGAGAAACAAGGGGGAAGCAAATACCACATTCTGCTCCACAGAAACAAATGGGGGTGGGGGATAAAACCAGTGGTGGGGGGACTGGTTAAGACCCCTGGATTTCAGTTAAGCTCCTCGGTGGGAACAAGCCCTGGGGAGACCGCGGGCGAGGTGAGGGAACCCCATGCCAGCTGGGAAGTGCCAGCCTGCCAAAGGTGACCCGCACCAGGGCACGGGCTTCGGCAAGCCAAGCCTCGCCGGGGGCTACCAGCGAGAGAGGGGCGAGAAGGCCCCGGGACGCCCCGGCACTAGGTGACCGTGGGGCCCGCCAAGGCCCGAGGGCCGGCGGCGGCGGGGGCGGGCGGCGCGGG